TCAGTGGATGTTTGCTGGAACTACTTGTAAACAGCGTGTTTCCTGACGGACACACACAGCGTTGAGACCGGTCAGGTAGGGCAGCAGGTGAAGTCAGCACCGATGCAGACTCGCTGTTTGAGGGCTTGATAGCCCACTCCCCCTCCACCCCGCTCCACACTCGTTGGTTTGGAACAGCACTTAATGTGGCGGACCCTCCGCGGGAACGCGCAAACGGAGGGGTAGTGTGTAGGGGTAGGGTGTAGGGGGCGGTTTGGGATTGGGCCTAAAAATACCCTATCCATACCTTTCCAAAATGGCCAATTTATGGCTAATGTGTTACACACCCAGCAGACACAGAGCAGCTTTAGCATTCATTTAAAGTTGTGTTTACGTCTAACGGACAAATGTAAATCCAATATCCACCACTTTGTTTGCTCTATTTTGTTTTCCAACAACTGCTGAGGGAGATGTCTGGCTCTTAAGCTGCTAACTCCACAATATGTTCAACAGCAAGTAGCTAATGTGTCTGTTTGGTGATGTGCATTTAGAGTACAATTGCTTAATCAGAGCTTTTTTTGCAGAAAACAGCTGCCTGCCTCTGTGGAGAACTCGCTAACAGCTCACCAAAAACAATAAGCTAACAGTCTGAAGAGCAACGTAAAGTTAATGTTTGCTTACGCACACATCCAGCAGTCCAATATTCAGCTCTTTTTTCGCTCTATGTATTTTTTCCAACAACTCCTGGGGGTTATCAGTCTCTTAGCTGCTAACTGACGCAATATGTTCACCAGCAAGTTGCTAATTGTGTCTGTTTTGTGCTGAGCATTTGGATTGGAATTGCTTCAGAAGAGCTTTTTTTTGCAGAAAACTGCTGCCTGCTGCTGTGGAGAACTCGCTAACAGCTCACCAAAACAACGAGCTAACAGTCCAACCCAGTCTCACGGCATTTCGTGTTATAGTCACGAAATTAATTTAATCTATTGATTCGTGTTCACCAACATGATTTTCACCTTTTTTTCGTGTCACACAGAACGATTTTAAATGCAATGTATTTCTATTGGTAGTATGTTTCGTGCCTGCACCACGTATTTTTGTCCGGTCGGGTCTTGGAATACCAGAAGCTGTGTGGTTCATAAACACATGTTCTTACTCAATATCTTACCCTAAGCCTAACCCTATCCCTTTTATTTTAAATTGTATAATGTCTGAGTTTTTTTGGCGTCCGCGAGGAAAAGAAATGTCTCAGAGCCTCAGAATACTGACATCTGTATTTTATGTCATCTTTTTTTCCTTCTAATTTGTTATTATTTGGTGCAGGCACGAAACATACTACCAATAGAAATACATTGCTTCTAAAAATCGTTCTGTGTCAGAATACTTAAATCTGTATTTTAAAAAATCTGTTTTTCCTTCTAATTTGTTATTATTACATTGCTTTTAAAATCGTTCTGTGTGACACGAAAAAATTGCGAAATCGTGTTGGTGAACACGAATCAATAGATTAATTTCGTGACTATAACACGAAATGCCGTGAGACTGTGTTGAACAGTCTGATAAGCAAACTAAAGCTAATATTTGAATACTCACACATCCAGCTGACACAGAGCAATGTTAGCATTACTTTGAAGTTGTGTTTATTTCCACCAGACACATGTGAATCTAATATCCACTCGGATATTGGGTTATCTGTTTTGAACTGCTAACTCTCACAATATGTTCAACAGCAAGTTGCTAATAGTGTCTGTTTGGTGCTGAGCATTTAGATTGCAATTGCTTCAGCAGAGCTTTTTCTACAGAAAGCAGCTGCTTGCTGCTGTGGAGAACTTGCTCAACCAAAACAGTGAGCTCACAGTCTAAAAAAGGGACGCCAACGCTACATGAAAGTGTTTCCTATAATCCCCCTTTCACTGAAAGCAAAGAGCACTGTCGGAGCCATATGTTAATGTGTTTACATTTATATATTTGAACATTGTAATTCTTTGTTATTAGTATTATTATATCATTTATTTAAACCAGCAGTTGAACATATGTGTTGTGTTTGTACTTGCGTTTTAAGTAAAGAGTCAACCAAACTTTCCTGAGACGTATTTGTGCTGGAGTCAAGCTTATTGCTACTTGTGGATCAACCCAGTCTCACGGCATTTCGTGTAATAGTCACGAAAATAAATGTAATCTATTGATTCGTGTTCACCAACACGATTTTCCCCTTTTCATCGTGTCACACAGAATGATTTTAAAAGCAATGTATTTCTATTGGTAGTATGTTTCGTGCCTGCACCACGTCTTTTTGTCCGGTCGGGTCTTGGAAGACCGGAAGCTGTGTGGTTCATAAATACATCAACTCAAGCCACGATTATTGTTTTTATTTTAAAATGTTGGACTTTTTTTGGCGTCCGTGAGGAAAATAAATGGGGCCTCAGAATACTGAAATCTGTATTTTCTAAATCTGTTTTTCCTTCTAATTTGTTATTCTTTGTTGCAGGCACGAAACACAATACCAATATAAATACATTGCTTTTAAAATCGTTCTGTGTGACACGAAGAAAAATGGGTAAATCGTGTTGGTGAACACAAATCAATAGATTACATTTCGTGACTATAACACGAAATGCTGTGAGACTGGGTTGCGTGGATATGTATATTTTTTTATTAGACGGGACTACAAGCACCTTTTTAAGTTTCTCTTCTGGAACACAACTTTCTTTCTACTTGTTTTGCTCACTGCACTCCCTCTTTTTTTCTCCACCTCATCTCTCTACTTCCCCAGAGACCCTCCATCCACACACACACACACACACACACACACACACACACACACACACACACACACACACACACACACACACACACACACACACACACACACACACACACACACATATCTGTCTTTCTCCATCGGGAAGCTGTTAAATGGGCAGAGCCGGTTTCCTCCCCAGGGGGAGTACAGTGAGGGAGAAGGTGGAGGCTTGTGTTTAGCAGACTGTCGAAGGTTCCCAGCAGGGGGGGGTGTCTGACTCTGAGGGGACTTGTTACCACAGCAGCTCACGGCCCTGTCTGTGTTCAGAGAGTTGACGAATAATTGGAGTCTGGATGTAGGAGCAGGTGTGTCGTGTCCTGTATGAATTATGGTTCTTCAAAATGTTCCGGGTTTTTCTCCTGGGAACGTTTCGGCATGGCAGCAGCAATTAGACTGCCATGGGACGCACAACAGCCATTGTTACTTTCAATGTACAGTGTTAGATTGTTTTGGTTTTGATATGAACTTATGTAGCCTCACTAGCAGAGGTGGGAGAAGTACTTAGATCTTTAATTTAAATTAAAAAGAACATATATCATAATCCTAATCTGCTCGGTATCATAATCAGTAATAGTACATAAATCCATTAGTCGATTTACATGTTGTATGATAGATAGATAGATAGATAGATAGATAGATAGATAGATAGATAGATAGATAGATAGATAGATAGATAGATAGATAGATAGATAGATAGATAGATGGATGGATGGATGGATGGATGGATGGATGGATGGATAGATAGACGGGTAGACGGATGGATAGATAGATAGACGGACGGACGGACGGACGGACAGATAGACGGACAGACGGACAGATAGATAGACGGATAGACGGATAGACGGATGGATAGATAGATAGATAGATAGATAGATAGATAGATAGATGGATGGATGGTGCAATCCCACATAACAGACAGTATAAGTATAATTTAATATATAAAGTATTAATAATATGAATTTGCAGAACTATCACATGAATTAGGAGAAGTTGTTTTATAAAATGGAAGTACTCAAGTAAGGTAAATAACCTCAAAATGATACTTCTGTGCTTCAGTAAATGCACTTTCCAAAACTTGTAACCACACTGAAAATAGAAATGGGCTTTCAAGAAAACTGTGGCACAATTAATTTGGGGTGAAAAAATATTCTGAACTAAAAATAGGAACTGACACTACATCCAAGTTCCTTGTGTTTCAAAAGCCTAGAATAACAACATGAAGAAAATGAAAATGGCAAACTTATTCTGATATATAAATTGTTTTGGTATACACTTCAGAGAAGGTAAATAACAACAGCCTGTGTATTTGTGTGTGTGTGTTTTATAAAATGGAAGTACTCAAGCAAGGTAAGGTACCTCAAAAGGATACTTCAGTGCTTCAGTAAATGTACTTTCCAACACTGGTAACCACACAGAAAATAGAAATGGGCTTTCAAGAAAACTGCGGCACAATTCAAAATAATATTCTGAACTAAAAATAGGAACTGACACTGCATCGATCTCTAGTTTTTTGTTGTATGCACTTCACAGAAAGTAAATAACAGCCTGTGTGTGTTTGTTTGTGTGTAGCACACCGACCGGGGGTGCAGGAGGAGATCATTCATAACTTGGACTACTGTGATGTTCTGGTTCTGGGCGAGGAGCTGAGGCCGGAGCAAGAGTCGCTCCAACTTCAGCGCAGCGCTCTGCTCGGGAAACATCTGGACGCCACCAACTCCACATCTGGCATGTCCATATACGGTATGTTACCATGGTAGCAAGTAGTGGAGTACAAATACTTCGTTACTGTACTTAAGTACATTTTTCTGGTATCAGTACTTTACTCCACTACTTATTTTTATGACAACTTTTTACTTTGACTTCTTACATTTTGAACCCAAATACCTGTACTTTCTACTTCTTACATTTTGAACACAAATACCTGAACTTTCTACTTCTTACATTTTGAACACAAATACCTGTACTTTCTACTTCTTACATTTTGAACACAAATACCTGTACTTTCTACTTCTTACATTTTGAACACAAATACCTGTACTTTCTACTTCTTACATGTTGAACACAAATACCTGTACTTTCTACTTCTTACATTTTGAACACAAATACCTGTACTTTCTACTTCTTACATGTTGAACCCAAATACCTGTACTTTCTACTTCTTACATTTTGAACCCAAATACCTGTACTTTCTACTTCTTACATTTTGAACCCAAATACCTGTACTTTCTACTTCTTACATTTTGAACACAAATACCTGTACTTTCTACTTCTTACATGTTGAACCCAAATACCTGTACTTTCTACTTCTTACATTTTGAACACAAATACCTGTACTTTCTACTTCTTACATTTTGAACACAAATACCTGTACTTTCTACTTCTTACATTTTGAACACAAATACCTGTACTTTCTACTTCTTACATGTTGAACACAAATACCTGTACTTTCTACTTCTTACATTTCCCAAACAGGCTGGTTCCTTTAGTTTGAATGTGTGTTTGGTGGCGTGATCATTATTATTTAGAGTCATTGCGTGCCTATTGATTTGAACACGATCCGTGTATCCATCATTTCCTGGTCTTCTCTAAAGAAGAGGAACCAATGAAAACGTTGTCATGTTGCCATTGTTCAGCATGGAAACATTCATTAGCTAACAATGACATTATTGTTCTATTCATATAAAGGGAGGTCAGGTACTCTTTAAAACAGCTGGTAGTTATGGGTACTTTTTACTTAAGTACATTTTGAAGTCTTTACTTTTACTTGAGTAAAGAAGTTTAGTCAGTACTTCTACTTTTACCAGAGTACTTTTAAATACGAGTATCTGTACTTCTACTTGAGTAAAGGATTTTCTGTACTTTTGCCATCTCTGAATAATGTGCAATTACGTATCTGCCACTACGTTTTTTTGCACTACTAATTACTGTTAATATTTACATGAATGATGTGACCATCTATGTTTCCTGTAGATATTGAATTGCTCTCTTTACGGCGCTGTTAGTGTACAGTTTTATTATTGTGCTGCTGTGTTTATTGTATCTTTGAAACTCTGGCACAACAATTTCCTTCGGGATAAATAAAGTCCTATCTTATCTTATCTTAGCAACATCATGGCTACAAGCAGTGTGTACTCAGCCAGGTGGTTAGCATGATAACAACGTGTATAGATAGTCAAAAAGTTGTTTCCATATATATTCTCTTTAATAAGTAAAGGATAATGTGCAACGACGCGGTCATTATTAAAAAAGAACCCCGGCTCAATAATGACCGCCTCGTTGCACATTATGGTCCTGCTTATTATTACACGACCACATACTAAATAAACGAACGACTTGACTCACAATATTAATTTTAATGATTTTATTGACTGTAAAATCATCCTATTGTTTCCGTCAAGAAACTGAAACTCAGCTCCACGGCAACCAACGGCTGGAAATGCGACAACAGCAACGTGACTTCAAATGAACGGCAGCTCTTATTTATGGTTTCTTTAACTGTCCAAGTTTCACAGTTTCTTCTCCACTAACAAGTCCTTAAACCAGGGGTGTCAAACTCAAGGCCCGGGGGCCAAATCCGGCCCGCGACTTCATTTTCTGTGGCCCCACAAGAGCTCTGAAAGAATATTATATGTTTATTATACGGTTACATGGCGATTTACAGAAGCACGTTGCCCATAAACTACATGTCCCACAATGCATCTCAAATTTGACTTTTTTCTCAGAATTTGACTATTTTTCTTCAAAATGTCACTTTTTTTTTTTTTAAATGTCACTTTTCCCCCAAAATGTCACTTTTTTTCCAAAATGTCACTTTTTTATTTAAAAATGTCCCTTTTCCTTTTTTTTTTTCCTTTTTTCCCCAGAATTTGGCTTTTATTTTTAAATCATTTTGTGACATTCTCACTGAAGAGACTTGCAATTACTTGCCCTAGATTTCTGCTTTCAGACGTAGTTAATTATGAAGTTATTACCCTATCAGATAATAATCCAATGCAGAGGCAATAATGTAATATAATACATTATTTTATATATATTAAATATTTATATATGTATTTTGATATTGTCTTAAAGTTACAACCGGCCCTTTGAGTGCAACCATAATTCCTACGTGGCCCGTGATGAAATTGAGCTTGACACCCCTGCCTTAAACTCTACAGAGCCCATACTGTGTTCCTGTTAGTGTTTACTTCCTGTCTGTCTTCTTCTGCTGATTTGTCTGACGTCAAACGCTCCGTCTTTTAACATCTTTCCTCTTCTCCCTCGATCCTCCTCAGGAACTGTCATTATGTTTGCTTAGCAGTGGTGTGTTATCGAGTAGTATTTATTATAGCACCTTTCACAGAAATACAATTAACAAATTGCTTCACAAGAAAGAACAAAAGTTAAAATTAAGACCACAGAAACATGAATACAATAACAACATGAGGCAGACATTTATAAAACACAGACCACGTAGAGTCCTGAAAGGAACACACATAAGAACAGAACACATCACACACATCTCCATAGCCAATGTAAAAAGATAGGTCTTCAGTCGTTTTTTTAAAGCTTCTACACAGAGACTGCAGAGCGGATGACTATACAGAGAGAGTTCCACAGTTTTGGAACTACAGTATAATAACCCCCTGCTGTGTCCTCCCTCAGGTGTGGACTCCATGTCTAACTACGAGCAGGTGATCCGACAGGTGCGCTACTATAACCTGCGGCCCGGTCAGATGACAGAGAGACGGTTTCGCCTCACCTGCTCCGAGCTCAACGGACGCTACACCAGCAACGAGTTCGACCTGGAGGTCAGTGTGAGCTACGGCATGATGTTGATCATGATAAGTGAATTTAAAGGTCCCCTATTATACTGTTTTTCATCGATATATTATAGGTCTCAGATATATACAGAACATGTCTCTGATTGGCTGAAACACCAAACAGATCATTGCAGCATTACCCATAATCCCCTCTGTTTCAGCCCTGTTTCCAAAGTGCTGATTCTCTGTCTGTTACTTTAGATGAAAATAAGGAGCCCCTCCCCACGCCCCTCTGAGAGAGATTTGGTTAAAAAGAACTCAATGGTGCTCTAGGAGGAGATTCAGGTGATAAGGTGGGGGGGGGGGGGGGTTACCTTGGTTGGTGATTGGCTAATGGTTACACAAGCCAAAAAATCGTTATGACATCATAAAGTGGCCAAAATCTGATCAGCTCATTTTCAGACAGGTTTTTATAGAAATGGATCAGGACAAAAAGAGAGAGAATCTTTGTTCCTGAAATGTTCAGAGTCTCTTTACACAGAGGGGACACATGTTGATGTAGAAGAGACATGAAGAAGAGGGGACACATGTTGATGTAGAAGAGACATGAAGAAGAGGGGACACATGTTGATGTAGAAGAGACATGGAGAAGAGGGGACACATGTTGATGTAGAAGAGACATGAAGAAGAGGGGACACATGTTGATGTAGAAGAGACATGAAGAAGAGGGGACACATGTTGATGTAGAAGAGACATGAAGAAGAGGGGACACATGTTGATGTAGAAGAGACATGAAGAAGAGGGGACACATGTTGATGTAGAAGAGACATGAAGAAGAGGGGACACATGTTGATGTAGAAGAGACATGAAGAAGAGGGGACACATGTTGATGTAGAAGAGACATGAAGAAGAGGGGACACATGTTGATGTAGAAGAGACATGAAGAAGAGGGGACACATGTTGATGTAGAAGAGACATGAAGAAGAGGGGACACATGTTGATGTAGAAGAGACATGAAGAAGAGGGGACACATGTTGATGTAGAAGAGACATGAAGAAGAGGGGACACATGTTGATGTAGAAGAGACATGAAGAAGAGGGGACACATGTTGATGTAGAAGAGACATGAAAAAGTGTATTTTGCATAATAGGTGACCTTTAAAACAATAGTAAGCATTTTATAATCGGTCAAGTATCATGACACTTCAAATGAGCTGGCCATCCCTGATGTGATTGCAAGGATCAGTGTGTTAAGAATCCCATAATGCCTAATCATGATGTACTGAATGCACTATCATCATATAATGCGTTGTATACGTGGCTTGCAAACAAAGTACAGCCTGACGGATGTTGTTTAATGACACAATTCCTGATTAATGATAGAAAACATTTTACAACATCTGAAACCCTCCTCTCGCTGCCTTGATAATACCAACAGGCTTTTAAAAAATGTTTTTCATTACATGGTCAATTGCATTGCCTTATCATTTATTGGTCAAAACACTAAATGCTGATGTGGTTCATCAGATATGACAGTTATCTGAATATCTTAGGATTTTGGTCGGATTGTTAATCAACAAAAGAAGCTGAAAAACTACAGGAGTGTTTCTATGAACACTGATTAATGGAGAGAAACATCAGTTAATTATTTGATCATAAAGTGTTAGTTACAGCCAGCTGACAGTGCCTTTACTTTACTTAGCTTGAGTAACATTGGTGTGGAAAGAAGTTGGCATGTCCAGCCCATCTATTAATATAAGATGAATTTCCCGGAAATGTAGTGACTATGCAACCAAATGATCCTAGGGCTGACAAGCTGCTGTAAACTAAGAGAGGATATTGAACATGAAACTATTTTCAAACATCATAACTATCACTTATGACAGTCAGAAGTAGGAAATCGCAATTTGTCGCACGAGCCAGAGCAATAAAGTGGACCAAAGTGACTGAAGTGACTCCGGCAACATGTTCCCTTTGAGAGGAAATATTCAAATGAACCCTCAGAACGTATCGACTTTCACCCTTAGTTGCATAACGACTTTGGGAAATTAGCAATTGAAACATGATATGCAGGAAAACCTCAACTCGAACGCAATTCCACTCAGAACATTTTGTAGCATGGGAATTGGGTGAGAAATGTGATTATCTCCAACCGTGTTAATGACAAGCTCTCAAATAAAACCAGTGCTCTCAACAGCAGCTGAACACACGGACAGATTGGTTCAACATATGGAAAGACGGCACTCTGCACACTTCACCCTCTCCTATAGAGACCCTGAACTTCTGAGGGAATCAGGCTTCTCCGGCAGTCCACTTGTTATACACTCGCTTTATGATGTGTCAGAAGAAGCTCACAGTGTCGGCTCGCTGCTGTGTGTGTCTGTCCTTGGACTTATTCAAACAATCTCTGGCGCTTGTTTGAGGGAACAAAATGTTTCACTGTAATGGTTTGAACCTTGGAGGCTGTCGGTGAATCTGCTTTACATCTCATTTCCTGTATTGCACTGACTCGGTCTCCCAAAAGGCGATGAATTCATTACATTCCTATTTACCTTTTCTCTCAAATGTTCACTTTATCATCGTCTGGAATATATATCAGCTGCATGAGGCAGGTTCAGGCCTACATGTGGGAGGCTTTGGGACTGAATGGATGTGAAATTAGGACTTTATTCTCCTAAATCCTCATCTGTTTCCCACCCAGGTGAGCAGAGGTGGGAAGTAGTGGAGTACAAATACTTTGTTACTGTATTTAAGTACATTTTTCTGGTATCAGTACTTTACTCCACTACTTATCTTTCTGAGGACTTTTTACTTTGACTTCTTACATTTTGAACACAAATACCTGAACTTTCTACTTCTTACATTTTGAACACAAATACCTGTACTTTCTACTTCTTACATGTTGAACACAAATACCTGTACTTTCTACTTCTTACATTTTGAACACAAATACCTGTACTTTCTACTTCTTACATTTTGAACACAAATACCTGTACTTTCTACTTCTTACATTTTGAACACAAATACCTGTACTTTCTACTTCTTACATTTTGAACACAAATACCTGTACTTTCTACTTCTTACATGTTGAACCCAAATACCTGAACTTTCTACTTCTTACATTTTGAACACAAATACCTGAACTTTCTACTTCTTACATGTTGAACACAAATACCTGTACTTTCTACTTCTCACATTTCCCAAACAGGCTGGTTCCTTTAGTTTGAATGTGTGTTTGGTGGCGTGATCATTATTATTTAGAGTCATTGCGTGCCTATTGATTTGAACACGATCCGTGTATCCATCATTTCCTGGTCTTCTCTAAAGAAGAGGGACCAATGAAAACGTTGTCATGTTGCCGTTGTTCAGCATGGAAACATTCATTAGCTAACAATGACATTATTGTTCTATTAATATAAAGGGAGGTCAGGTACTCTTTAAAACAGCTGCTAGTTATGGGTACTTTTTACTGAAGTACATTTCAAAGCCCTCTTTACTTTTACGTAACTTGAGCAAAGAAGTTTAGTCAGTATTTTTTAAACACAAGTATCTGTACTTCTACTTGAGTAAAGGATGTGTGTACTTTTGACTTCTCTGCAGGTGAGCGTGCTTCACAGTTCAGACGCAGGGGAGCATGTCAATCACATGGTAGCCCCGCCTCAGTACATGCAGGCGGTGCACCATCCGTCCATGATGCACGACCTCTACCCCAGCCACAGCTCAGGTGAGGAGATGTTTTCTACATTTATATACCATCGAAATCATGAATTACACATTTGTCTCAGTGGGCTTTACAGTGTGTGCAGCATACGATACACTCTGTCCTCTAACCCTCGCAGCGGACAAGCAATAACTCCCAGAGAAACCCAAATTAACGGGGAAAGAAATTAAATAAACTTTGTGGAGAGCAACAGAGGAGAGATCGCTATCTCATGATGGACAGACGAAATCGAAATTACATAATTAATCATTTATATAAAAGCAGAAGAATGTCAGAAGTCTTTCATGTGCTTTGATAAAATACTTGTTATGTGTTATAATCTGATTTAAGTGCTGTATTTTTATTGCAATAAGCACGTACATGTTCATCATGTCTTTTAACAATAATCATTACACCATATTAAGCATTTTAAAATGGCTTATAAGGTCAAGTATCATGAAACTTATAATGAGCTGGTCATCACTGACTTATTTGCAAGAATCGTAGTGTGTTATAATCCATATATTGTGTTATATTAGTTCTTTAAGGATCCCATAATGCCTAATCATCATGTACTGAATGCACTATCATCATATCATGCGTTGTATACATGGCTTGCAAATCAAACGTCAGTTATAGATTTACGTTTTTTACCTTTTAAGTCATTGTAAAATGCTTTATGTGTGTCAATTTTTTGCTTTTATTATACAGCCCTTTAATCAGATTATAACACATTATAAATACGTATGTTTTGACTGCATTAGAGCCATGGGCTTTATAGAAAGAGTTACAATAACACAGTCTAATTCCTTTTGTAAACTCATTTATTAGATTCATTTTGCCCTTTCCTATTTCATTTGTCGCATTCTTATCTTCGGGCATATTAATGTCGCTTCCTGTCAGGTCCGATCACATCTCATTACACCCACATACAGTTTTACCAGCAGAGATATAATGGAGGGAGACGATTTTTAATAATCTATAGCAGAGATACTCAATTGCAGATTAATACGTTTCCACGGTGTCACAGGCTAATGGTGGTTTATGGATAAGTGATATTGAAATGATAAAAAAACTCAAAATATATGGTCACAAAAGCATTGTTCAGTTACGGGTGTGGAATCACTGTGAGCTGCAGGTGTGAGTTAGTGATGTGTAAGAATAGAGTCTGCTTTAAAGGATCACGTCTCACAGCGGGTACCTGTGTTTTGGGAAATATAAATGTGACAGAATGTCGAAAATGACTTGACAAATCACCAATGGGCAGATGCTGAGAACCAGAGTCTTGTTAACCACTGAGCCACAGCCGTGTGTAAACAAAAATACCAAAAAAATGAGCTTTTTATGTTAGCTATCCATCCGGGGGTAAACATGGCGGGATCCAAGGGAACATTCGGTTTCGCTTTCTAGTTTGTTTATCGCTGCGTTCATCCGACTGCTGCGCTCACGCCGTGTTACACACACAGCGGCGTGAAGGGGCCTTCTCCCATGATGCACTGGGGCTTATCCCCCCTCCCTCGGTGCGAGTGAGTGATCCGAAGTAAAGGGAACATGGTGCAGGAGGAGAGACATTGGTCTTAATCTAACACACCAGATTTAATTATTCATCAGACTCTAATGGATTCTACTTAGAGTCCTGGAGAGTTCAGTGGCCAATGCTGTGTGTGTGTGTGTGTGTGTGTGTGTGTGTGTGTGTGTGTGTGTGTGCGTGTGCGTGTGTGTGTGTGTGTGTGTGTGTGGAAAGGAGGTCAGAGGAGCAGAGAGGGTGATGGGTAGTTGGAAATAAGAGTGTGGCAAAAGTACGTAATAAGATGTGTACAGTTGCTATCAGGGCGTGTCGGTAGCACACGTGAGTGTTTCAGATGATATCATGCTGTAAATACAACGTCAAAAGGGAGAAACGCCGGGATGTGTGTGTGTGTGTGTGTGTGTGTGTGTGTGTGTGTGTGTGTGTGTGTGTGTGTGTGTGTGTGTGTGTGTGTTTGTGTGTGTGTGTGTGTGTGTGTCTGTGCATGTGCAAACACTCATCCAAGTTACTCTAAGGGGCTGCATGAAGCTTCACTGCGAGGAAGATCAAAGGCCGTGGATTAAGTGTGAAAATCTAGGGAACTAGACTGAATCAAATGATCATCTGAAGAGTCCTCTGTGGGTCTCCCTCTCGTTAAACACACACTCACACACAGACACACACTCACACACACACACACTCACACACACACACACTCACACACACACAGCAGCAGCAGGGACTGGTGGAGAGGGCAGGGTCGTGTTATTTCAGTCGGCTGGAGATCAGAGCAGCAGAGAGATACATTTGAGATCAAGAGAGATCCCTCAATGTATGTTGTGGTTATGATATTTAATAGAGTTTACGATACATCTCTGCAGCCGTGTTCTGCTCTGGGACCTTCATTAAATGTGTGTTTTTTTCGTGAAATATATATGAAACATTCTGTAACTTAAGCGGCTTTCAGTAAAATGTGTTGCACGGCTGATGACAGAATAGATAAACAGATTCAGGTAGAAAGACAAGCCTTGACAGAGCTATAACTCAAGAGCTGCTGTAATACTTAGACATGGTTGAAAGAAGGAAGTCAAAAATGTTGGGTTTTGCTTAAAATACATCGCAAAAAACATGCGACATAACAAATGTCTTACTTAAAAATCCTAAAATCCTACCAAAAACATCAATGCATTGGATTCAAATAAAGAAAGGAAACAGACATAGTGTTGGGAATTGTAAATCTGGTCTTTGCTCAATAGAAATGATCCTACATGTATAATAAACCAAGGAGGCCTTCAGATAAACACATCAGTGAATTCAGAGTTAAAGTGTTAACTTGAGGAATGTTCACAAGGACATGGACGTCTACACCATGTTTCATGGCGATAAATCAATAGATCTTTCAGACTAAGTGAATGTGATGGACAGAGAATGCTGACCCTGAAGCTACCGTGGTCTAAACAAAGACAGAAAGAGAGGTTTTTATCAGTAAAGGCGGGAAAATACTGTGAAAACAGGTCAATATTTCTGAAAAACAAACAAATCAATAGGCTGTCACGATAAGTAAAGATCATAATCATCATCCTTTTTAGGTTTGAAAAAGGCCTTTCGTACAATAACATGAGAAACAACTTCAATAAATATCACAAAACGCCAATCAATATCCAAGCAAACAGATAGCACGTAGAAATATGAGATAAGATAGAAAGATGCAATAGAGTTGCATTATGGGATATGTAGGATCTATAGAATACAAAAACTGGTGACTTGAATAATTTTATGTTCGGATAACATTTTTCTTGTCTGCAAATCCTTTAGAACAAACATTTTTCAAACCTAAAGGCAGTTCAAGTTGGTGGGATTTCTATTTTAACTTTAGTACTGTATATCGAGAGACTAAATGAATGGTCTTTTATGGACGTTTCCAGAGATGTCTCTATTCTGTTTTCTCTCACCTCTCACTCTCCTCTCTTCTCAGATGACCAATAAAACGTTTAAAAAGAGGCAACGGTAGTAACTATGACTTATCTACAGGCTGTGAGCTTTACAGAAGGTGGGACGAGATAGAAAGCTTTAACCCTCCTGTTGTCTTCGGGTCAAATCTGACCAATTTACTACTTTCATCAATCATAACTTTTTTGTTTTACATTCGATTGCATTAAGGCTTTATGATATCCTTCATTTGAACATATAAAATGGCTGATCACCACTTTCATTGAATTTTGGATGATTTAGTCAACTTTGTAACACCCATGGTGTTCCCGGTCCGCCATGACCGCCATAAAGAAAAGGAATTAGTAACCATCCGGATCAGATAAAACACACACACACACCCACACACACACACACACACACACACACACCCACACACACCCACACACACACACACACACACACACACACACACACACACACACACACACACACACACACACACACACACACACACACACACACACACACACACACACACACACACACACACACACACACACACATCCCGGTGTTTCTCCCTTTTGACGTTGTATTTACAGCATGATATCATCTGAAACACTCACGTGTGCTACCGACACGCCCTGATAGCAACTGTACAAATCTTATTACGTATTGTTGCCACACTCTTATTTCCAACTACCCATCACCCTCTCTGCTCCTCTGACCTCCTTTCCACACACACACACACACACACACACACACACACACACACACACACACACACACACACACACACACACTCTAGATGTGCCCCCCCCTGATGTGCCCAATCCCCCCATGTGAATCACACCTGGCACACAAACACAAACACACACAGAACAATTTGACACATGTCCCGCTCTTATGTGCCCAATCCCCCCACATGGATCACACCTGGCACACGCAATACATGTTCAGTCTCTATTCTTTGTATATGTACAGCAGTTTTTCATGTATACCAGTAGTCTGATACAATATGTACAGTTTGAAATTGTGTTAAATGACATTTGGTGATGATTAATGGTTTTTGTGTTAATGTAATAGCAGTTAAAACAGGACCGGTCAAATTTGACCGTGAACACCAAAGTAAGGGGGGGGGGGAAGGAAGACAATAGGAGGGTTAAATGCATTATGGGATATACAGTAGGATCTTAGTGCTCCTTTTCAGGGTCTAATTCAGCCTTCTGACGTCAAATGAAATAACTGCAGTACCTTTTTGAAGTGTTTGAAGACTAAGAATAGAAAACTGGTGACATGAAATATCTAGTGTTCAGATAACGTTTTTGACCAAAACATATTTAAAGAAAAAGCTAGTAAAAGTATGTGGGATTACCTGGTTATCTGCTGAAGAAAGTATTTTAGCTTTAGCAGATGGAGTGATGCATTTATCGACTTCAAGTCATTTTTCCAAAGATGTCTCTATTCTGTTTGGAATATGTTGGATCTATGTGTTCATTCGGCCTTCTGAATGTCATTAAATTAGTGCATGACTATTTAAAGAATACAAAAACTGATGAATCATTTTATGTTCGGATAAAATGTTTCTTGTCTGAAAATCAAATTCTCAAACCTAAAGACAGTTCAAGTTTGTGGGATTTCTATTTTAACTTTAGCATATCGAGAGACTAATTCAATGGGCTGTTATGGACGTTTCCAAAGATGTCTCTATTCTATTTCTCTCACTATCTGTGTTTTTTTAATTTTTGTTTGACTTTTACGACACCAAGTCAAATTCCTCGTACGTGTCAACCTACCTGGATTAACCTGTTTCTGATTCTGATTCTCTCTCTCCTCTCTCCTCTCCTCTCTCCTCAGCCGTGCCCAGTGCTGCCACCCTGGTGATCGTGATGTGCATCGCCGCCCTGGTGGTGGTGGTGGTGTTCGGGATCTACCGGATCCACCTGACCCACCAGCAGGAGGGGAGGCTGGGGGAGACGGCTAGAGAGGCGGAGGGGAGCTGGGACGACTCGGCTCTCACCATCACCGTCAACCCCATGGAGGTAGGAGGGGGGGATACAGGGATATATAAGATGTGTACATTAGTGACTGGAATATTTACAAGAGAAAATAAGACATGTCCATGTTCTGCTTTAGGAGTAAAATAATAAGCCAATGTCATTTTTCCTTGATTTTACTACTGATCATTTAGTAACAATATGATACGTTACAATGCGATACAACACAATATGGTACGATACAATATAATAAGATATGATACAATAAGGTGCGATACAATACGATACAATACGATACAATACGGTACAATACGGTACAATACGATACAATACGGTACAATACGATACAATACGATACAATACGATACAATACGATACAATACGGTACAATACGGTACAATACGATACAATACGATACAATACGGTACAATACGGTACAATACGATACAATACGGTACAATACGGTACAATACGATACAATACGGTACAATACGATACAATACGGTACAATACGGTACAATACGTTACAATACGATACAATACGGTACAATACGGTACAATACGTTACAATACGGTACAATACGGTACAATACGATACAATACAGTACAATACGTTACAATACAATACAATATGATACAATATGATGCAATACAATATGATACAATACAATATGATACAATACAATATGATATGATACAATACAATATGATACAATACGATACAATACGGTACAATACGATACAATATGATAAAATACAATACGATCAGTGGCGGCCGGCCCATAGGGGCGCTAGGGGCGCCGCCCCCCCTCTTCCCACATTAAAGAAATATATATATATATATTTAAAAAATATATTTTTTATTTTTATTTTTATTTTTAATAAACAAGGTAAATATTATATAATTGGTATCAGTAAAATGTATAATCTACAATAAAATCTCGTTTAAGATTGTGTTACGATGTCTAAAGTTACTGATAAGTCACGTTTCCTGCCTGGCCTTGCCCGTGTATCATTACTCCCTGTGCATAGCGCCCAGATGAGAGTGCAGCAAGTGCAGCAGAAGCCAACTGTTGCTATCTTTAAACTATGCCGCCGAAACATAATTTCAGCCAATCAGCGTCGTCAAATCTGATGGTCACAGGGCTCCTACGTGAGCGCCCGGTGCAGTCTGTGAGTTGTTTGGACTCGTATCCAAGGAGACAAAACAGGAAGCTGTCATACACTCTGGAAGCTACCATTAGCAGCTAATGAAAACTCCGTTTTTGACATAAAAATGGAATTATGGATCATCAATCATTTTTCAAAGTGACAGACACATTGGATTAACCTATGGATTAACCTTCAGCTGCGTTTTTCTCGTTTTTGATCAGAATTGTTATTCTGCAAAAGGTGAGCATATCTTCGTGTTTTGCTACCTAAAGCTACGTCGTGTGATGTCTGTATTTGCTTCCCCTGTCGCGAGTTCTGATCGCTCAGTGATGATACTTATATTTCTAGAATATGTGGAATCTCAGCTTGTTAGCACAGTTTATGCTGTAGAAACTATGTCCAGGACAAGGTGTTTGGAAGTTTTGGAAGATTCATAGCTAACCACACTGAAGTTATGGAGGTATTGATCAGTCTTCTCATATTTTTAAGCCTCAAATTGTCCTTCCCCCCCTCTAACATCACCAGAAGTCATCATTTAGGGGGTCTTTTCTAAAAAAAATGCCCCCTAGTATTGTTTGATCACCATTTCCACAGCCCCACCTAAAATATTTTCCACCAGCCGCCACTGAATACGATACAATACAATACGATACAATACAATACAATACGATACAATACGATACAATACGATACAATACGATACCATACGATAAGATAAAACTAGATACGATACCATATGATATTATGACACTTAGACAATATTTTCAAGACTCTTTAACGTAAATCTGATCTGGGATTGAATTCTGTGTTTAATTTTAGGATGGAATAATGCACAAAAGAGTCCTTCAGTATAACTTTATGAAATTGTGAGACCTGGTTTCTCCGATTTGATGAGAACAAAGAATTGTTATTGTTGCAGACATGATTTGGGTCATGGGTTTAATATGTTGTCATGGTAGTTTGATTCATCGTGTCTCAGACCTACAATCTTTGAGCAGATTTTCACTCGGTGTAACAGTTTTGACTTTAAAGCATTGAACACTCGTATTGAGTATTGCAACACTGTAGAAACACTCAAAAAAACGAAAGGGGCATTTATCCACCTGCTCGTTTCTGACATATTTCTCACCACAGAACCTGAAGGAGCCTCAGGCTGCAGAGGAGGAGGAAGAGGAGGAAGAGGAGGAGGAGGAGGAAGAAGAAGAGGAGGATGATGAGGAGGAGGAAGATGACATCACCAGCGCTGAGTCAGACGACAGCGAGGAGGAAGTGGATGTCCAGCTACCCAGGATGCAACGCTCGAGCAAGACGGGCCAAAACTGGGACAAAACAACGATATCTTATTGAAGCACACACTCACAGTCACTCACACACACACACACACACACACACACACACACACACACACACACACACACATCCTGCAACACGGCCATACTGAAACCTCAAATCAGATGGTGGAAACAAAAAGACTTTATGTGATGTTGATGCTCTAAATATGAGGTAATATCCCCCCCTACTGGAACACTTCACTGAAACACACAGTCAGAAAAACCTCCCGTTTTATACAGCTGATAAGAAAGATCTGACACTAAAACTGCGTGTCAATCAAATTACCTTTATCCGTCTTAAAGGGACAGCGCGCCAAATTTACGTCATCCCCTGAGACTCAAATGATCTCTATCCCATTACACCACCACTACGTTAAATAAAGTTTTATTTAATTTGGTCAACGTTTCCCACAGTGAGATCTCTGATATCCCATATTAATGCGAAACAGTCTTTATTTAAGAAAACTGAGTTGCAAAAGCAAAAGAAGTGACTATTTTTGGTTTGTATACTTCATGTTATTTATCAGTCTTTATTCTATAGCCTCTGTGGCAAAGCCAGGTGATTTTACAGAAATAGCATATTTTCAATGGTACTCACAAAAAAAACAAAAAATATGATCTGTGTGTAGTCATGGTGATCTAGAAAAAGGGGTCTGGGTTTCGGGGAAGGACAGAGGAGTCTCCTTGTACATTTTTATACGCTCCTTTCTTGTAAATAGTGAGTATAGTAGGTGACCCACCTCCCCCACCCCACTCCCAAACACCACTTTCTCCCCCCCAGAAACCCTCCTCTCCACCTGTATACAACACACATCCATCATATGTATGTTCCCACCATGGACCGTGAGCAGGTGGGAAAGCTGCGCTGGGAACGTTTTAACAGACGTTTTCAGATGTAGTCCAAAAGGTCGGATTGAATCTCCGTCTCAGGTGTGGTCACAGCAGCGAGGTCCGTAACGAGTACTCATTGAAAGACAGCTACACCTTTATAGCACCATCAAAGTCCTGCTTTCATTAATGCTGCATTGTAGAGATGTACACAGTGAGGCATCGTCACTTTTTAAAAGGGCAATTCATGTGTAGAGACATCAGAGGGTCTACACAAATTGATTCGCAGACTGAAAACTCACCTGTTTCTACTGCATCTTGCAGAGATAGGAGATGCAGGATGGTTGTTCTTCATGGTTGAAGGCACTTGTCACCATGGATAAAAGCATCAGCTAACTGAAATAATATATAGTAAATAAACAGGCCTTTGACATTTGAATTAATGCAAGATAAAATGTAAAAAAACACTACAACTTGACAAAGATATATATTTTTGAGGCCATTATCATTAAATGAATTAGATCAATTTTTACATTTCGATCAAGGATAATATAGAATATCATGTAAACTATATACTGAGTGGTTTTACAGTTAAATGAAATGTAGTTCGAAACACTAAGACACGTTTAAACTACGAAGAAAGACAAACCAACAAGAAATGGTATGAAAGGTATGAAAGATATGCACACAGGCACACATATGTAAATAATATTAATATATATTAAAATAACAAAAATAAAGTTGATACAACTAGAGAACTATTATAATTAACAGTAACTACTTTAAAATATAATAATATCAAATATACAATATTATAAAAGCTATATGATTACTATAATGAAGTATAATGAGGTGGCACTGATAACAGCTGAATAATGGGGCTAGTAAGGCAATGAATATTTGATTTACAGTCATCAGATGGCTCGAAACACAACTTATTTAAACACTATCACCGTATCACTTTTGTGTACAACTTTTGTAATTGACTGATAATGGTAGCTAGCTTATGCTGCCAGATCTCACAGAACAAACCGAGCTGTCCCATGGGAACATAATATTTGTTTGGACTTTACCTGCAAGAAACTTTTCCAACTGCTAACTTAGAATGAAATGCAGCGTTAATGAAAGAAATGTGGGTCTAGAGGTGATGTCAGGCTACATAAATCCCATTTCATTAGCAGCAGTTGGTGCCGCTGAATTGCAAAGTTGCCTGGTGCAACTTCAATATAAAAGGTGACGTGCATTTGGCTGTGTCACATCGACGTAATGACAAAACCCAGCGGAGGGTTCCTCACCTTGAAGGGAAAGGGCATTCATCTCTGGCTGTGGCCGTCCTGAGTCCAGTCTGTCTGTATCGTTTGGGAGCAAAGAATCCGCAAACAATAGAAAAATGAGTACCATGTGACGTGTTTAGTGGCTAAAGTCGGCCACAGATAAAACCAGGTTTGTTAAACTCACGACCACTAGAGAGTTTCCTCCAACTTACTGTGTCTCAATTTGCATACTTTGAGTGCATAAGTGCAGAATTCACTATAAGTACCCAAATGGTGCACTCATAACATTTAAAAAGTTGAGTAAGGAACGCTGGACACTTCTCACTCTCAACAACCGCCATCTTGGCTACTTAATGCTAGTTCAGCTGCTATTGTGGTTGCTTTAATGAACACAGCACTATACAAATAAAAGTTAGACATGTGGGTTTTATTCCCCTATTTACTATAGATGAGAGCAGCGCTACGTCACTATCTCCAAATACATTGTTTCATTGTTTGCCAGTCTGACCATCGTAATTGGGCTCCTTGTAGATTCAAAAAAAGCGCAAATCAGAATCTGGATTTACTGCCAATCAAATGACAGCGAGTCGTTTCACACAAAAAGGGGCGTGGCCTTACTTAGAGGAAAAGTAGTGGACGTGTTGCTCTCATCTAAACCTACCACTATACTGGTGTCGAAAAGAAGCCACCATTACTTTTATTGGGTGACTTAAGCAGCCTGTAATGATTTGCTACCGTGAAAAACGAGCTAGCTGGCTAACAACGGAAACCTCCACTTCCTGTGAGGGCACAGCAGCAGTCTTTTACAATTTGAAACATCACAACCCGGTCGATATCCACACAAACAACATGGCAGTGTTTCAGTAAAGTATCAGATTGAGACACAGCTCTAGTGAGGTGTAGCTGGAGAACCTGCTGTATGTTTAACTGTAGCTATATGTTCATGTAAAGATCTCATATGTTGTTTAAGAGTTTTCCTCATCTACTGTGACACCTGTTCTCGTGCCGTCACCCCTCCTCCTTGCACCCCCCCTGAAACCTTTGGTGGATTTTGCATCGACCCCCGCCCTAATGTTGTCCTGACGTTTGTTTTAGAAAGAGGAGGACCGTGAAAATAACATGGATACCTTGTATAATGTGTAAAAGTTTTTTTTTTTTAAGTTTTCCGTTTTTTTTCCTGGACTCTTTGGTCTGTTTTTCTTTGGAATGGTCACTACAGCACTTTCTGTAAATTGGCCAATAAAAAGTTGTTTTTGAATCTAGCTGCGAGTCTCGTATTTGTATTGTTGTGTGGTCTGTGTGTTTCTGCAGTATTTCAGCATTTCACAGATGTTTTATACATGTAACTGTACTTTAATATTTAGTCCATGATGTTAATATCATTATAAAAGTATAAAACTTCAATCATGCATTCTGATGCTATTGCTTTTGGAAGCCACAGTTAGGTTTTGTACATTAGTGAAGTTTAAAACACCGTTAATTGAGAATATGTCAAAAATATTGTTATCATAGTCATAATATAGTATGTCAAAAAATTGTAAAAAAAAGTCATACTGAGACAAAAATATGAAGTCTAAAATGGCGGATATATACAAAAAAAGTCACGCAAAAATTATAATATAGTTTGTCAACATCTTAAAGTTGTAGAATACTATGTCAAAAAGATTCATATTATAGTATTTTAAATATAATATGAAAAAGCCATACTATAATGTGTTGAAAAATATCAAAAATGGCAGAGTATAGTATGTTGCAAAAAGCCACATGGTATTTCAATTTGTCTTTAAATCAAAAAATCTTGCATAATATCCCAAAAAGTCCTATTATAGTATGTTGAGAAGACACCCAGCAATACACTCACAACCCTAAAAACACGCAAAAAAGTCCCTTTACTTGTTATTCTTTTATAAAGCCTCAGTACAGTATGACATAAGTCTTATATGCAAGGCCAGACAACATGAGTGTATATATGATAATAGGCTGATTTCCTTCTATACGGAGGTCCTGCAGTGTTGTTTGTCATTGTATTCAATCACAGGAGGTTGTTTCTGCCGCTGTGTGACTCATTATTCTGCTCTGTGAAGAAATGCAAGCACACACTGTCAGCCTGTTATTAGAAGATAAATATATGGAGGCACAGCAGGGGGTCCCTCAGGAGAAACAGTGGAACGGCGGGGGAGAAATAAATGTGTTTCACTGGAAATGAGCAAAAGGCTTTGTCTCCATGTCTTTTATATATTTCACAACATACTGTCATAAAGGACTGAGGTGGAAGGAGTACTTGGATACTTCAGTCAAATTAGCATTACTACGGTGTTAATACTCTGTTCTGCATTCATAATTGTACTCAAGTAAAAGTACAAAATGATAAGAATGCAAATGTACTTTAAGTACCAAAAGTAAAAAGTACTTATCCTGCAGTATGGCCCATTTCAGAATTATATATATTAAGCTGTTGTGTTATCATTTTGAATGCATTAAAGATCTCCTATCGGGCTATTTTTTGGCATATATTATGGGTCTCAGATACATTACATTTCAGATATTACGTCATATCGGACGCAAATCTGGATCAGCTCCGTTGTAGCCCCGTTTTTAGAGATTTGGGTACGGAGGAAAAGAGAGAGGGTTTTATTTTCTGACACTGCGTGAGTTCCCTGACACACCGGGGGACACATGTTTATGTATACAAGACATCAAAAAGTGCATTTTGCATGATAGGAGACCTTTAAAGTGTGCATAGAGACCAAAGCAGCACTGTTGTCATCCACTTTTTCATGATCTAAACGAAAACAAACCTTCTCTGTGCTGCACGCTGCGTTCAGTGTTTGCTTCTTTGAACTCATCTTAAAGGTCCCCTATTATACTGCTGTTCATCAATATATTATAGGTCTCAGATATATACAAAACATGTCTCTGCAGTGTTTGGCTCCAAACACCAAACAGATCATTGCAGCATCCCATAATCCCCTCTGTTTCAGCCCTGTTTCCAAAGTGCTGATTCTCTGTCTGTTACTTTAGATGAAAATAAGGAGCCCCTCCCCACGCCCCTCTGAGAGACATTTGGTTACAAAGAACACAATGGTGCTCTAGGAGGAGATTCAGGTGATAAGGTGGGGGGGGGGGCTTACCTTGGTTGGTGATTGGCTAATGGTTACACAAGACAAAACATCGTTATGACATCATAAAGTGGCCAAAATCTGATCAGCTCATTTTCAGACAGGTTTTTATAGAAATGGATCAGGACAAAAAGAGAGAGAATCTTTGTTCCTGAAACTTTCAAAGTCTCTTTACACAGAGGGGACACATGGTGATGAAGAAGAGATATGAAGAAGAGGGGACACATGTTGATGTAGAAGAGACATGAAGAAGAGGGGACACATGTTGATGTAGAAGAGACATGAAGAAGAGTGGACACATGTTGATGTAGAAGAGACATGAAGAAGAGTGGACACATGTTGATGTAGAAGAGACATGAAGAAGAGGGGACACATGTTGATGTAGAAGAGACATGAAGAAGAGGGGACACATGTTGATGTAGAAGAGACATGAAGAAGAGGGGACACATGTTGATGTAGAAGAGACATGAAGAAGAGGGGACACATGTTGATGTAGAAGAGACATGAAGAAGAGGGGACACATGTTGATGTAGAAGAGACATGAAGAAGAGGGGACACATGTTGATGTAGAAGAGACATGAAGAAGAGGGGACACGTGTTCATGTCGAAAAGCCATGAAGAAGTGGATTTTGCATAATAGGTGACCTTTAAGTGTTGTGCCTCTGTCCATGGTGCTGAATTGACGCTCAGCACCATGGACAGAGGCACACACAGCCGCTCAAACACCAATGTGCTGGTTGGGTCTGATTTCCTTCCATTTCTGAGTAGAAAAGGTTGGCTGTGCTGCATATTCTAGATTTGAGGACACATTTGATTTTAGACTTTGGAGGGAAAGTAATTGGTGACGAGTGAGAATATTTGAGCTGGTTAGTGGTTCTCCTCTGGGATACAATTCTAAAGAACAGTTTGAGAGTTAATTATAATTATTTAATGTTAAGGAACAAGGTTAAGGTTTAGTTTCAAGTGAGGGTTTGGGTTGGGTATTATGTTGTGATGGCTAAGGTTAGGGGGATTAGAAAATACATTTTAACAATGCAGGTACTCATATAATAGAGCACAAATGTGTGTGTGTGTGTGTGCGTGTGTGCGTGCGTGCGTGCGTGCGTTAACATGTATTGATGATATGCTGAGGACATGGTACTGTTTACACCCAACAAGGACTCCAAGAATCTCCAATTTGGTTTAAGGAAAAGCGTACAAAAGGAAAATAATTACATTTGAAGATACAGAGTTAGAATAGGGTAATATCATAAGGTTCATTTGTATTATTTTTGTCAATACTTACTCTTTTTATTCTATTCTTACTTAAATATTGCAATATCTGTTCTGTGTGTGTGTGTGTGTGTGGATGGGCATCTTGCATTCTGTATTTTATAATAACTATCAAGCTGAACATGGAACATCTCCTTCATATATATTATTTGTACATATAAGTCCATTTTAAATGTATTCTTATGCACATTCCACCTTAGAAACTCACCATTAGCATCTCTTCACTGGAGGCACTTTTATAGCCAGAAATATGAGTCCATGATCAATCCAATGTCTCCATCTAGTGGATATTGACGATACTTCACAATCATTTACCGTCATGTTCCAGCAAGTAGTAACTGATGCGTAAACCCTGAGCAAAGCAGGACTATAACCCCGTTTTCAAATCAGTGTAAATGATGGCTCGAGAGGCTTACTGTTGGATTCAACCAAACACCAACCAACACAAATGAGTTCAAATATTCACAAAACGTATTATTTTCCATTTCCAGCATAGAGAGTGGAGCGAGGGGGGGGGGGTGCCCGAGGCTCTGTCACCTTCACGTTCGACTCGTAGACAAAAACACACTTAAAAAAAACATCAATCAAACTAGTGTGCAGACCGCAGGAATAAATACCCTCTCATTTAACTATGAGGTATTTCCTTTCATTTATTTTACCAAGCCCGAAGACATGAATACATTCAAAGGCTTTATGTTATATTCTCAATAGCTACAGCGTATGTGTGGCAATTACAAATCTTCAGACCCAAGCTCCTCCAACATGGCAATGTACAAATGACTTAAGACTTGTACAAATTGTGCGAGAAGAACTAGAAATAAAACGGTGCAAGTGACACAATGGTGTAAGTAAGACGTGGAAATATGTCAACAATATACATGTAAAGTAGAGTAAGATACGAATAAAGACAGAATGTAAAATATAATATCGTATCCACTAAATATTGCCTCCTGTGTTTGTTGTTGATGTGCAGTCAGCGTCCATCACAGGAGCATGAGGCAGCAGTTTATGAATAATGAAGTGCAACTTGCCTGAAACAGAAAATCACTGTACATTATTTATTTAGTGTGTTTTGTTGCACTCCAGGCGGAGTATAAAGTCTTACAGTAATTGTTACTGAGGGGGATGTGAGGATCTGTTGGATTCTGACACATCTAAGAACACAGGTCCTGTCAGCTGTCCAGGAAAACCACTTTGTATAAACCTCTCAATATTTCCCTTTAAAGGTCCCCTATTATACTGTTTTTCATCAATATATTATAGGTCTCAGATATATACAGAGCCTGTCTCTGATTGGCTGAAACACCAAACAGATCATTGCAGCATCCCATAATCCCCTCTGTTTCAGCCCTGTTTCCAAAGTGCTGATTCTCTGTTTGTTACTTTAGATGAAAATAAGGAGCCCCTCCCCACGCCCCTCTGAGAGAGATTTGGTTACAAAGAACTCAATGGTGCTCTAGGAGGAGATTCAGGTGATAAGGAGGGGGGGGGGGGGTTACCTTGGTTGGTGATTGGCTAATGGTTACACAAGCCAACACATCGTTATGACATCATAAAGTGGCCAAAATCTGATCAGCTCATTTTCAGACAGGTTTTTATAGAAATGGATCAGGACAAAAAGAGAGAGAATCTTTGTTCCTGAAACTTTCAGAGTCTCTTTCCACAGAGGGGACACATGTTGATGTAGAAGAGACATGAAGAAGAGGGGACACATGTTGATGAAGAAGAGACATGAAGAAGAGGGGACACATGTTGATGTAGAAGAGACATGAAGAAGAGGGGACACATGTTGATGAAGAAGAGACATGAAGAAGAGGGGACACATGTTGATGTAGAAGAGACATGAAGAAGAGGGTCACATGTTGATGTAG